TCAAGTCACTTTAAGGGCTGAGGAGTTGGCTCAGTGGGTAGCAATGCTTAGTTTTACAGCCATGAGGGCTTGAAGTCATGTCTCCAGCACCCAGCTAAAAAGGCAGGTCATGGCTGCACATGACTGTAACTCCATCACTGAGTATAGGAAGAGTGTAACTAGCTTTCTTTTGGGCCACCAACCAGCTGCCAAATAAAGACAGGGAGACTTACTATTAGTTAGGAATGATTGGTCTTAGCTTATGCTTCTCCCACTAGCTCTTATAACTTAATTTAACCTGTTTCTCTTCATTTATGGTTTGCCTTAGGGCTTTTTATCTTTCTTTTATTCTGTATGTCCTACTTTGTGTCTGGCTGGCTGGTGGCTGCCTGGCTGGCTGGCCCTGGGTATCTCTCTCTCTTTTCTCCCTCGTTCTCTCTTCTTTCTTTCTTGAGCCTAGATTTCTCCTCCTTCTTATTCTCTCTGTTTGCCAACTCTGCCTACTCCTCTACTGCCTACTTATTGGCTGTTCAACTTTTTATTAGACCAATCAGATGCCTTAGGCAGGCAAAGCAATACAACTTTATATCATTAAACAAATGCAGCATAAAAAAGTAACACACATTTACATAGTTAAAGTAATATTCTGCAACATAAACAAATGTAATACACCTTTGCCTAGTTAAAGTAATATTCCACAGCAGAAGAGACAGGAAAATTTCTGAATTTGCTGGATAGCCAGTCTAATGGGGGTGAGGGGGTGGTGGGTGGTGGAGGGGCAACCTTCAAGTTCAGGAAGAGACATTGTATCAAGAGAATATCAAGACATCCAGTGCCTTCTCCTGGCCTCTGTAAAATCACACATAAGGTATAGTCACATGCACACACACACACACACACACACAAATGCACACATGCATAGAGTCACTTTTCTATCAAATACAGCAAAACCTGAGATAATTATATTCTAAAGAGAAGCCTTGTGTGTGTGTGTGTGTGTGTGTGTGTGTGTGTGTGTGTGTGTGTGTGTGTTGTGTGTGCACATGTTCTTGTGTGCAGGCATGGAAGTCAGAGGTCAACGCTGAGTGTCTTTGCTTATTGCTCATCACCTTATTTTTTTAAGGGCACAGTCACAGTCTCTCATTGAACCCAGAGCTCAACAATTCAGTTATATTTGCTGGCCAGTGAGGGTCTGTGATCTACCCATGTCTACTTTCAAAGTGCTGGGGTTATAGATGTGTATTTTATGTGGGTGCTTGGGATCGGAAACAGGTCCTCGTTATTATATGGCAGGCAATCTAAGGATGGAGCTATTCCCTCTGTTGACCCTGTTGCTTTGGACCTGTGGCAGCACACTAAGATGGGAAGATGTAGCAGCGGGAAACTGCTTACCTCATGAATGGGAGGTGAAAGAAAGGAAGAGGAAGGTCGCGGCTCTTACTTTATTCTCGGGGATATGTCTCCATGACCTAAAGATCTTTACGTTCCTTTAGAAGCTCCTCTTTTTAGAGTCACTCCCACATGCCAATTGGAGCACAGATAACAGAGCTTTACCCTATGAACCTGTAGGGAACACTTATGCAAAATATAGCACAGATTAAAAAGTAAAAAGGTATATGTAACAACAATCTTTATAATATATAGTAATAGATTGCCATGTGAAGGAATAAGTTCTGAGAAATGAGTCATTGGGCAATTTCTTTGTTGTGGAACCATCATAGAATGTATTTACCTGCACTGAGATAGTGTGACCTCCTACACACCTATATTATATGGTATAACCTTTGCTCCCATGCTACAAATTGCACAGCGTGTTTCTGAACTGAATCTCTAGACAACTATGTCAGAATGCTAAATGCTTTTGAGTCTAACTATATCCAAATACAGGAAAGCCACTGTGAAATACAGTGTGATAAAGTGCATGGGGCACTCACCCAGAAGAAAACTTGCTCCAGGCAAAGGACTGTGGGTTGCTCCAAGCTACTTACAAGTGAGCAGCGAGTGAACTAGAAGACATCAAATCTCACTGTGTACTATCTTACTTGTAAAACAATTAAAAATAATTTTCTTCCTTCAATAATAAATTTAGCTCTGTTTAGAATATCCTTAATTTTTTTTTTTTTGGAAATTTCTTGACTTGTTTGTAATGTCAGCTTAAAATACAAATGTTGCAGTCTTTCTTTATATCTCTATTATGTAAGCTTTAATCTATTTAAAATTTTATTTTTCTTAAAATATTTTATTACCTCTATCTGTCTGTCTGTCTATCTATCCTCCATCAATCCATGGAGGACAAGGGAGTGTATGTGGAGGTCAGAGGACAAATGTTGGGAGTTGGTTCTCTACTTTCACCATGTGGGTTTTGGAGATCAAATTCAGATCATTAGGTTTAGCAGCAAGCGCCTTTACCTGCAGAAACATCACACTGGCCCACTTCCACTTTTAATTGTTGTTGTTAAAACTAAGATACAGAGCCTAGATGCGCTGCTTTATATCTTATTATCACGGTTAATTACTACCTTTAGTATATACAGTCAGTCCCTGGGGATGGTCTTCACTGTCAATACATTCATATCACTGCAATCTTCTGTTTTAATAAAGCCTTCTTCTGGATCCCTCTTGAAGAGCCTGTCAGAGGCAGCCAACTTACATATGGGTATAAATATATTGAAGTGGAAGGAATGCACTTTGAAAATAAAAGTATAATATAGTAAATATGTAAACCAGGCACAATCATTTATTGTTATCAAGTATTATGTATGTGTTGTGCACAACTGCGTGTGACTCTCAGCACAGTAGGTTTTATTTTTTCACACTAGTATCCCATCAAAAGTATGTCTCGGGGCTGGGGAGACAGCTCAGCATTTACCCTGCTAAGCCTGATAGAAGGCCTGTGTTAAATTCTTGGGACCCACTTGGTGGGGGAAGAAAATTGGAACCTTCAAGTTGTTCTCTGACCTCCACAGGCATGCTCTGGATTACACACACACACACACACACACACACACACACACACACACACACACACACACACAAAACACTATCCCCAGTAAATAAAAAGATATAACAAAACATTCTTTAAAGTGTATGTTCTGTGCTATGCTACAATTTTCTGATGGATTAATGTCATTTGGAAACAGGATTTTTTTTTTTTAAATTTCTCTTGTAATCTTATGAGACCGTTGCCACATAAATTCTGATGTATTTATTCCAATTGCCCAAAATATTATAGTTTTGACTTGTAAAGCAAGGTAAATTTATTTGTTTATAATGTATCTTATATTGTCAGTTTTGCACAAAATCTTCCCAACATGGCATGGATTTTATACTTATGGCACACGTCGATTTGCTCTGGACACTTTGCAAGCACTCAATGCCCACCCGCTGTTTGTAGAGACAGTATTGACAGTGCACCATCAGACTGAGAGAAAACCTCTGAGTTCCTTTGGAGTGTTAACGTTATTCAACATCAGACTTCTTGGCATAAAAACCTTGCGTTCTTAGAAAACAAGAGCATTCCAACTTGCAGAGAGGCTTTCTGTATTAAAGGCAAATATTTGGGAATAAACACCTGGCTTCTGTTCCCTGTCTGGGCTTCGGCAACACCCTCACACTGTCTTTTTTGATCTGGTCTGTTCTAAAGCAGACCCAGAGAGTGCTCAGTTCTGCTCAAGTGCCAACTCAGAATCCAGCTGTGGGCCAAGACAAAAACCAAAATATATCGTGCCCTGACATTTTCTTGCCTACTTTAAAAAGTGTCTTCTGTGGGTGTCTGGAAGGGCTCCGATGTGGACCACATCTCCATTTATTTTTTGTTTTTTGTTTGTTTGGATCCAGGATGAAATGAGGACGAAGTCTTTTTATACTCAGGGATGTTTTGATTCATCCTCCGTGGTGGTACAAAAGTCCCCCAGCACTGCCACTCTCGTGCTTCCAAGTCCATCCCGCATCCCGCCTCCAACAGTGCCATCATCCTTTAACAGTGAAGCCTTCTTATCCCAGAGTTTCCCTAGGCTTCCGAAAGAACACTGGTTATTTAGTGCTAAGGTAGGTGAAGAAGGATCTTTTACTCTAAAGCAATTAATTTATATGACTCAACCACTCAAGGAGCCTTCCAACATCAGTGATAGCACCCGACTTGTAGTCTTGGTTCTGTGTGTTATTCAGATGAAGAAAAAAAAAAAAACAAACAAACCAAAAACCCATTCACTTTTATGTTAAGGCTGCATGGGTAAACTGAGTTTAGCTTTGTTTCTATTTAATTGGTAATGGTTACCCTTGTATTTTGGATCCTGATTAGATGGGAAGTGCAGACATTTGACAGTAAGCCCTCACAGGAGGGTGCCTGTGCAGGGGGTGGGGGTGTTAAACAATGCTCAACCGACTTTCTACCATTTGAGCAAGTCTTTTCTTCCTCCTGTGTGTTTAACCACCTCCTTCCCCCGGTTGCTAAAGCTTTACCGGCAGAGATGCCTTCTACAAAGGCTGGTCCTTCACTTCCATTACTCATTATAGATGGCCATAACAACTTGGCACAGTCGGCCCAGCTTTGTGTCGTCATTTTTAGGGCACAGGAAGTCTTCAGATGAAGACATGAAATAGAGTTTGTTTGGTAAAGCAGAGCTGTAGGTCCCAAGGCAATCTGGCAGGAGGTCATTTCCAGGGACCCACAGAGAGGGTGCGCTCTCACAGATGAAAAGCTAGGATGCATTGGTGGGACAAGCCGTAGGAATAGCTAAGGGTATTCCCAGGGCTCAGTCTAGTTACATTTAGGGACACCGGACGAATAAACGAATGTGGAGAGATCTGGAAAGGTGGATCTTCTGTAGGAGAATGTAGAGAAAGCAGCTGCCGCCGTCCTACGTGTCTCTAAAGTCTCAAGCGGGCTTTGCTCTCCTATCCCCCCACTCCCACCCCCACAAGGAGAAAGCTAATCTCGGGGACCTGGTGCGGCCCGCTCCTCTTCGCCCACGAGAGGTGTCACCTCCCCGCCACCCCTCCGCCCTCGGTCTCCTGCCCCGCCCTCGGGCGGGTGGCTGGCAGCGGTGCCCGCGGAGGCGCGGCAGGGGCGGGCCCTGTCCCTCGAGGCAGCCCGCGGGGCCAGTGGCAGGAGCGGCGCGCCGCCAGCCGCGGGGGGCGTGGGATGGGGGAGGCGGCGGAGGGGAGCGCCCGCTGCCACTAGAGCCAACCGCGCACTTCCGAAGGGTGTCGCGGCTGCGCTCCCCTCCCGCGCCCCGGGAACTTCAAAGCGGCCCGCGCCGCCCGGTCGATCGCCCCGCTGCGCTCTGGGGCCCCCGCAGCCCCGTACGGCCGCCTGGTGGCCATGACCCCAGCGTGCGGCTCCGCACTGAGCCTGGCTCTCCTGCTGGTGGCCCTGGCCGCCGAGCTCGCCGCAG